TGTCCTGGGAATCCCTCTTCCCAAATTCCTGGCTGTGGAGCTCTGCATCCCGGCTGGAGAATGTGTCCTGGGAATCCCTCTTCCCAAATTCTTGGTCCTGGAGCTCCACATGAACACTTGAGAATGTGTCCCGGGAATCCCTCTTCCCTAATTCCTGGTCCTGGGCACTGGCCTCCCAGCTCTGGCTGCTGAGTAGAGCTGGCTTTCCAACCCCCAAGCCGTGGGCCTCAAGCTGTTTGGAGACACTGGCGTCACTTGGGGCATGGGTACTGCCCACTTCAGCCCACTCCCTTCTGATCCCTTCCCTGTGCCCCAGGTCCGGGTCTCCTGCGGGGCTGGCACCCCCAGTGCTGTAGTCCTGAGAAGCAACATGGGACCAGCTGGAAGGCCCTGCGGTGCTAGGGTAGGGGTCCGCCTCGATCCCGAATTCACTGTGCAGATCCTTCTGGGCCCAGCCAAGGAGTCCCTGAGAGTAAGGAAAAGAAACACAAAGAAACAATGCTCAGAGGTAATCAGAACAGGAATCAATCCAGGATGAAGTCAGTGCCGCCACTTGGCCCGACAGCTGGGGTTGGGTTCCGGCTGTGTGACTGTGAGCACACTGCGGCAGCACCCCAAACACTGTGGTCCTCAGGGACTGTATCCTTCATCAGGGACGAATCGCATGGCACACGTGAGAGCACCAAAGAGCACCCCACCCCTGGTGCAGGGTCATGCTTACAGCCTTGAGCAACACCTGGCTCCCCGCAGGACAAGGTCTGCCCAGGACCTAGAGCACTGACCCCACTGCAGCTTACCACAGTGGGGACAGAGCCCCTCAGGCCCTCTCTCTGCGGGGCCACCCGGAAGCCCTCAGCAGCCTGGGCTGGTGGGGTTTCCACAGGCTCCCGGGGCTCGCTGTCCCAGCAGCCTCCCCCACTCACCCTTGGCTCAGGGCCCCGCAGCCGGCCAGCCTCGTCCCGTAGGGCCGCATTGGCCAGGAGCCGTTGCAGGATGGACACACTGGCTTCCCCGTCCCCAGGCCCAGCCATGGCCCCTCCGCCCACACTGGCGACCGCCCCAGGCTGCTGGGTGCGGCAGCGGCGTCTGGCCTGGACCTGTCGGGCAGGCGAGCGCTGAGCCCTCTGGCTCCGCTCCTCACCCTGGCTCCACTCCCCTGCCCGGCAGCTGCAGCACCGCAGCCCCGCCCAGAGGCCCGTTGAGTCACCCTGGCCGGGGACAGACACACCTACTGCAGAGTCTTAACCCTTCCTGCTCCTCCACTCACCCCACCCCATGCCCTGCCCGGAACCTCACAGAGCCAGCAGCAGCCACTCGCTGGGCCCGTTGCACTTCCACAGGGACGTGGGTCACAGTAGGGCCTACCCAGCACTCCCTCTGTCCTAGGCTCCTTCCTGTGGCAGTCACACACTCAAGGAGGCCTTGGCATAGAGACAGCAGGACTGGGCTAGAAAGCCAGGCAGGCCTGCTGGGCTGGCAGAGGCTGAGCCCGGCTCTGACCTTCAGCTGCACTATCTTGCCTTACACAACATCGTGACAATAATGGACTGCACACTCGCAACACACACGACACCCAGCACCTCCTGTGATTCACTGTACCCACACAACTCCAAGAGACAACACCACTTTCCTGAGATAGGGTCTAGCTATGTAATTCAAGCTGATCTTGAGCTATGTAGACTAGACTGGCCTCAAACTCACACAGATCCTCCTGCCTCGGCCTCCCGAGTACTGGGATTACAGGAGTGTGCCACCACACGGGGCTCAATGCTGTAACTCCGGAGAAGCCAGGAGTGATACCTGTCTAACATCCTCACGGTCCTGCTCTGGCCCCCAGGGCCCCCAAATAAAATGAAATCAAGGACCCTGAAGCTCAAAGGTTCACTCCCAAGCCCCTCAGCTTGTGAAGGCTTCCAGTGAGCTTCCCCACTGAAGGGATGAGTCCCCAGGCCTGGTCTCCACACGGTGCATGTCCTCACCTCAGGGTGGGTACTCGAGCAGGGCCTGTCCTTCAGTGGTGGTGGGGATGCCAAGAGCTCATCCAGCCAGAGAGAGCTGCCACCAGGCCCTGCAGGCTCAGGAGACACCGGGCACCAGTCCTGGGCCTCAGCTGTGGGCTGGGCAGTCTCAGCCCGGGCCAGGGTCACTGTCTCCTCCACCGGCAACGCCTGCTCAGGACCCGGGCCATTGGCAAAGAGCACACAGGGCTGGTCGGAGGGTGCTGGCTGCTGCTGGCCCTGAACGGGCTCCAGCAGGGCCAGGGCAGCCTCTCTGGTGACCGCAGGGAGAGGAGCCTCCTGCCCAGTGGGCGGTTCCCGGGGCTGCATCCCCTCCTCAGCCTGCAGCAGAGATGGGGCATCTGACATAAGCTCTGGGGATGGGGGGACCCCTGGGCCTTCCACCTGCACCCAGGAAACAGGCCTCCCTGTGTCCCCAGGAGGGGCCTGGGCCGCCTCCCCTTGCAGGGACACAGTGCAGCTGCTAGCTTCAGCAGCCTCCATGGCCTCGCTGGCTTCAGTGATGGGAGAGGGCGGTGGAGAGTCCAGAAGCCGCAGGCCTGGACCCGGGAGCCTGGCAGGGAAGCTCCACTCGAAGGACTGTGACAGGCTCCAGCTGGACTCCGTCCCACTCCCCAAGGGTCGATCCAGGGCCGCCTGGCTCCCCTGAGCCTGGGGCAGGGCAGCCAGTGAGCCCCCCAGCTTCTCCGGGGCCTGGCTGGGCGGCCGGAGGACACCTTCCGAGAAGCGGCGTTGAGCCAGGCTGGCAGGACACAGGCTGGAGTCACCCATGAGGGCCATGTCCTCCCCTCTTGGAAACGTCCTCTTGGGCTCTGGCACTTCAGCCCCTTCAATCAGAGGCCTTGGTGGGCTGGCATGCGGGCATTCAGCACTGGGGTGCCCTGAGACAAGCTCAAGCGGAAGGCTGCTGGCTCCTGGGATCTCTGTGGCTACTTCAGAGGGGAGCCCGGGGCTGGGTAGCTGGCAGAGGCCCTCAGCAGCAGCAGGAACAGCAGACCGGGTAGTGCCTGGGGATGGCGGAGTCCCAGGGTGATAGGGAGAAGTCTCAGAAGCTGGGGCATTCTGGGGAGACCCCGGGGCTGGGCCAGCAATGTCCGCAGGGCAGCCTGGACTGGTGGAGGCCCAGGCCTTGGTGAGAACCTGCAAGACAAAGTGGTCCAGGCCGTCAGGTACTGCCGAGCTGGCTGGGGGACCCCTGACCCAGGCACCTGGAGACAGAAAACCGGGACTCAGGCAGCCAGGGACCACTGTGGTCAGTGCAGCGACACCCCACCTTCCAGGGTCACAAGAGTCCTCTGCAGGCTGTCACCCAGATCTGTACCTCACAGGTACCTGGGTCATCCTTCCTGCCACCACCCAAGCCAAAGCTTGGTCACCAGAAGGTCCCCCATGGTTCATGATCAGGGACTTGGGAAGGGGGCATCCAAGAAAGAGCCATAAACTATGGGGCCCAGTGTCACCCACAGAGCAGAAGCAGGACAGCCCCAGCTTTGCCCGGCATTTCCTCCCAGGAGCTGAGAGCCCCTCTGCAGGTCTGAGCCTCAGCTTCCCCATGTGGTGGGGCGAGAACTCCAGGACCTGGCCAGGCTGGCCCCTAAAAGCCCCTGCCCGGGCCCCGCCTCCAGCTCTGTGACACTCTGGCCCCAGGGCCCATGCCAGCAGCCTTGACCACTGAAGCCCCCCATGGGTGACTCCTACAAACCCTTCACTTGCTCTGGGATCAACATGACCTCTGCCCACTATCTAACCCTGGAGATATGAGGGGTCCCTTCCAGGCCCCAGGCAGCAAGCCTCCTTCTCCCAGTACCCCCAGGCAAAGCTGCCACCTCCACTGTGGTAGCGCTGCCCCCGTCCAGCCCTCTGCCCCCTTGCCCCAGTACCTCATGGGGTCCCTCACCCACACCCTCTCACCCTCCCACTCCCTGGCCTTCACTCTCTCCACCACAACACCAGTCTCCTGCAGGTCCCTCTGGGGCCTCACGGCGCTCTCCTGGCTCCTGGCCAGGCAGCTCAGCCCCATGGCCAAACTCAATGGCAGAGGACACTGCACCCGCGTCCTCCCTAGACAGGCACTGTCCTTGCTGGGGGCGGAAGCCAGCCGTCCCTCTGGTTCCCTGCCACCACCAGCCAACTGCTCTCATTTCTTCTAAACCTCCCTCTTGACCCTGCATCTCTTGGCAGCAACAGCTGGCTCTCCACAGGCTCCCAGTCCTCGAACGGACTTCCTCCTTCACTCTACCACTTGCCTTCTCTGGTTAGGGTTGAAATGACCTTCCTGAAGCCAAAGCCATCCTGGGGCTCACCTCTCACAACCCCCACAGATCGTAGGGGCGTCAGGTATGGTGGTACACACCCGTAACCTGCACACTCAGGAGGCTGAGGCAGGAGGATGACTGCCTCCCCACCTTGGCAGTCGGGCTCTGAGCACTGGGAGCCCTGTGCATTCTCTGCTGCCACCCTGACACCTGCTGTGGCAGACCCTAAGCCAGTATGGGCACGACAGACGCACACAGGCCTCTATTCCAGGGTGGCGGGGGGTGCTGGTCAGCAAGAACTTTCAAACAACAAGAACCACTTTGCTACAAATTTCCTAGGAGAACAGGTACTGTGGGGGCAGAAATGGGGAGAGAGGAAGAACCCCAAAAAACAAGGCTTCCTACTCTGATCCTCTAGGGAGCTCTGGAGGCAGACACGTCCGTTCCAGCCTCTGGCCCCTCCCACCTCCTCTTCCCTCCTGTGGACCAGCAGGTCCCCACTGGGGTGAGGAGAGGACTGAGCAGGCTGCACACTCAGCCTGTGCTGGGGTCCTTACATGCAGCAGAGCTGCTCTTTATGAGCATGCGCCCCAGAACCACACCTGAGCATGGCAGTCAGCAGGGGCCCTGGCCTGGGAACTGAGAAACCTGGCACCCAGCCCTCAGGCAAGTCCACAGGCCTCAGTTTCCCCTTTTGAACTACACAGGCAGTGGAAAACAACCTCAGGGGACCTCCCCGCCAAATGCTCTGACTGGCCTGGGGTGGGGAGATGAACTCACGTCATTTGGTGGCTTGGAGGCGGCCAGCTGAGCCAGGTCCCCGTTGACAGCCAGGTCAGAGGACGGGCCCCTGTGAGAAACATAGGCAAGGCATAAAGCAAAGGAACCAAGAGGCAAGAGTGTCTCTGGCCCCCACCCAGGGCTGGTGGGCACCCCACCAGCCTGCACCACAAGAGTCAAGGCCTGGCTCTGGGGACAGCACCAGGTCCAGCCCTAAACCCCAGGGACCAAAGCTCCCTCAGTGCAGGGCAGCTGGCCTGCACCCCCGCAACCCCCTCACCCAGTCCTGCTGGCAGAGTGTGCCCTGTGTGACCCTGACTATATTGCAGGGCCCTGTCTGTGAGAAGCAAAGGTGACTCTGGTTTTCAGGTGACAATAGGGCGGGGGCCGAGCCAGGGCCTTGGCATCCCCTCAGGGAGGGCAGTGCTCTTGGGGCCTGACACTAGCTGTCCCTGCCCAACACTGGCTCCTGGGGTGGCCCCCCACCTCTCTGCCCAACATCCTGGGCCCATTACCCCAAAAGGACCTCCTGAGCGTCCCTAGCCAACTGCTCACAGCACACCCAGGTCCCAACCAGCTCTGCCCCAGGGGGAACAGGCAGTTGGCCCTGGGCTTTTTGCCAGGACAGAGCAGACTGGAGGACAGCCTACACCTCTGCCCCCACCTGCTCAGCAACTGTGGGAGCCACCTTGAACCTTGGTTTCCCCATCTCCAAAATGGATCTAAACATAGCTTCTTCCAGCCGCGGAGTCAATGAGGCAGGCTGGTTCTCTGCATACACAGACTAAAACTTGTGCACTCAACATTAACGGACTATAGCGACAGAACTCTTTCTTCCTTTTGAGGATTCTAGACACTGAATACACAGGGTCTGTATGAGCTACACACCAGCCCTTTTTTATTTTGAAACAGATATTCTATTCTTTGCTAAGTTTCCTGGACTACGCTCGAACCCACAATCCTCCTGCCTCAGCCTCCCAGAATACTGGGATGACAGGCATGTGCCACCATGCCCAGCAGAGAATTATGGACAGCTTTTCAGACCACAAACTCCAGAAGGCACTGCCCACCGTGGAAAGACGCTGTGCTGACCACCTCTGCCCAAGATCTAAGGGCAAACTAAGGCCACAGCCGCAGAGGGCCACCCAGGTCTCTGGCTCTCACCTTGTCGTGGGGGTCTTGCTGCACTCTTCTGGACACTCTGCCAGAGCTGGGGCCTCTGGGGGTCCCTCCTGGGACCAGCCCCTGGCGAGAGCAGTCCTGGGGCCGTAGCGCAAGCTGCCATCCTGGTTGAAGGAGAGGCGCGAGCCCCAGAGCCGCTCGGGGCTAGGTGGGACCTCCTTCCGGGGCTGCTCCATCTTGGCGAGGATCTCCTCCACTGTGGAGGCAGCGCAGCGCTCCGAGGCTGGGCGGAATGGGGCAGGGGCCTTGCGTACACCCCCTGGGGCTGCACAGCGGGTTGGCGGAGTTGAGGGGAGCGGTTCCCCCTTTCCAGGGGGCTCCTGGGCCACTTCAGTTGCGGTGGCCTCAGCCACAGGCCTTGGCGCAAAAGGCAGGGGCCGCTTGCTGCCCCCATAGGGCTGGGGCCCAGCCAGCATGTTCATTTTCCGGGCGGAGGGCAGCTCAGCCAGAGGGCCCCGGGGTGGCCGAGGACCCACGGGCACCAGCAGGGAGGGCTTGGCAGGCAGCGCGGGCTTGGCGGGCAACGCCCGGGGCTTGGGCCTGACAGGTGGCTTGGCCCGGAGGTCACCTGCAGAAGAAAAGCATGGAGGGCGGGGCAGGCGTCAGACAGTCCTCACCCTGCACTCGGCCACCCTGCAGTCTCAGGGTGTCGCATCCCAGGCACAGGTCAAAGCCACCTGCTCTCAGGGCCCGCTGGACCATCAAGCCGGTCACACGTGCTGTCCTTTCCCAGTTCCCTGGCCATGCGTCTCACTGGTACATTTTGTGTCCTTAGCCCTGGCTCACACCTACCCAAAGCCCCCACCAAGTGACGGACCAGCGAAGGAGCCCCTGTAGCCAGCCTGCTGCCCGCTCTCGTCCCGAAGGACAGCCAACCAACCCCCTCTGCTCCAGGCTCTGATCTCCACCTGCCGCGCGTCCCACCCCCACCCCTCCCGGGCACCGCCCCACTGTCATCTGGTGTGTGACCAGGAATGCAAACTTACTATTGACCTAAGCCAAACAGAAGTAGACCGATTACAAGGAAAGAAAAAGAAAAAAGAAAAAAAAAAAAAAAAAAAAAAAAAAAAAAAAAAAAAAAAAAAAAAAACAAGACCAAAACAGTCCTTCTACGGGTCCCTTCTACACCTGGCCCCACAACCCACTTCTCCAGCTACACAGGAGGGAGAAAATCTAGACGGGGAGCCGGGAAGCTTTCCGTGCCTCGGTTTCCCCCAAGACAAAACACAAGGCTTCACCCACAGACACTCCTGGCTGCCCGCGATCGGCGTGGGAGCCCTCTCCCTCCAACTCCGCGCACCCCAGTCCCTCACCCCCGCCAGACCCTACGGCTGTGTCCCCGCCTCCCACCACCGGCCCCTCCGGCGCCCCACCCCGCTCCCCTCCATACCTGGCTCGCGGCCAGCGCGCCCGGGCTCCTCCTCCGGGTCCTGGGGTGGAGAAGCCATGGCCGTGCCCTCCGGGAGCGCGGACACCTCCATGCGTGCGGCCCACGCGGCCTGGGAAGAGGCGGGAGGGAGTGAGCTAGGGGCTGCGACCTCAGAAGGGAAAGGGGTCGCGGCGGTCGGGCGTCGCCGGGAAGTCTCCGTTCCCAGCACAGCCGGCCCGCGGGACAGGAAGAGGCCACTTCAGGAGGGGTCCTGGGAGGTCGCCGCAGGTCCCCAGGGCCACTCCTCAACTTGCCCAGACCTCTCAACTCGTCGCTTCACCCGTCCCAAGAAGACGGGGTCCAGGAGCTCCGGGCCAGCCCCCCACGCTAGCCCACTCACTGCTCCCTGGCACCCGGTGGGGCGATGGGCTCCAGGCGGGGCAGCAGGGCCGGAGTCTAGAGTCTCCAGGACCTGAATCACCTCCCCGGAGACGGGAAAAACCCGCTCCTCCCCGACCTGGGGCTCCGCCCCACCCTGCCCCCCTCCCGCCTCGCCGCTGGGAGTGGCTCCCGCCCCCTCCCCCCCTCCGCCTGTCTCATCCAAACACGGAAAAATAAGGCTTAAAAAGTAAACATCTGGAATACATTTTTTTTCTTTAATTTTTCAATTGCTCTGGCTTGAGCTTGGAATTGGATGAGGTAAAGTCAGGGCCTAGTCCCGTTGCCATAGCAATGGCCTCCCACTGGATTTCCAGAGCTGGCCTGGAGGAAGGAGGAGCCGCCAGGGCTGGGCCCTGGCGCGGCCGGGATGGGGCTAGAGAACATCCGGCGGGTGGGGCAACTTGGGGAAAAACTCTCGGGCTCCCCCTTCCCAGACCCTCCAGATGGGCTGGCCCGGAGTTGAAGGAGTGGGAGGGAAATACACCAGGTGACAGCCACGTGGTAGAAGCCAACCAGGTCCCCTCCTCTGAGCTTCAGTGGGCCTCTAGGTCCAGAGATTCCAGGATTCAAATCGGTGTGGGGGGGGGAGCGTCCTACTACTTTCCAGCTGTCTGGCTTCCCTAAGCCTCAGTTTCTGTATCGGAAAAATGGGGTTACTGATAGATTCTAGAGGTTTAAGGGAAGCAATCCAGGCAACCTTGACCATTATTACTGTGATCAGTCATAGCGTTCTGTCGCCACCTCCCCCCCCAACTCCAGACCCCAGGCCATTGCAATCCCGAGCCATTTCTTCAACTCCCAAGTCCACTCCTGTCACCCACTCGAGATCTGTGGTCCCAGCTCCACAAGCCTCCACACACCCAGGGCTGGGCTGAGGAGCAGCTTTCCTGCCCACCTGTTTGGAGGCCTGAGAGCCGCTTCCTGTCACCTGGTGGAGCTCGACCAGGCGGTCCCACATCCCCAGGCAGGGTTACAACCTTCGAGACACCCTCCAGGGGCCTGAGGACGGCCCAGTCTCTGCAGAACCCACCCTAACCTCCCTCTCTAATCGTGTCCCAGCGTGTCCAAAACAGCACTGGGCACGTAGGCAGGAGAGAAGCGGAGAACACAGCCCCGGATCGGCCCACTCCCGCGGAGGCCTGCCCACGGGTATGCACGAGGTCCACAACCAGGCCGCGGACGCGGGGAAGAGGGGCATCTCAGAAAATGAAGCCACAGGGCTCACGACTGAGTTCCCGTGCTTGACCGTCAACACAGAAGCACCGCGTGGGAGGGCAGATCCGCGAACCGGGCTCACAGAGGGGCCCCGTCTCGCCGGGCACCTGCTGGGCACTGCTGCGGCGAGGGGCCGCAGCGCGGAGAGCGGCTCGGACTGCGCAGCTGGGCGGGGTGGGAGGCCAGAGAAGCGCGGAGGGCGCGTGACTGAGAACACAGCCAGAGGCTGCAGGACCGCAGAGAGTCGAGGCACCCCAGCCACGGGAGACCCAGGGAGACCCGGGAGAAGACGATCGCAAGGCCTGGGGCTTGGCCTGGCCCCTGAGTCTCCAGCGGCGACCAGAGCGCTCGGGAGTGGCTGAGACCGAGTGGCCCGGCGAGGGACTGCAGGAACCCCAGGGACCCCAGAGATGGGTCGGGATGCCGGACCCGGCCGAGGGGGCGGAGGCAGGAAGGGCGGGGTCTCCACAGTGCCCGCCCTCGCCCCGCCCCCCTTTCTTTGGCCGAGAGAACGCGAGCCCGGACAGTGCGCCCCCCGACCCTCCAAACTTTCCGGTGACCTCACCTGCACCCGAGTCCAACGTGATCCCCGCCTCCTGCCCGCAGGCTCCGCGCACACACTCACGCGGCGCGGTCGGTCACGCTCCGGCCGACGCGGCCGGGTACCCACCGCGGTCCCTGCTGCTCCTGTTACGGTCACCGAGGGACCCGGGCGCCGCTAGCCCCGCACAGCCCGGCCCCCGGCTCCGCCCATGCCCCGCCCCCGGCGCGCTTCATGAATATGCATATACAAGCGGAAGCGGGAGTGGAAAACCCGTGCGGAACTCGCCTGCCCTGCACGGAAGGGGGCGGACCCACGCTGAATTATTCATGAGTATGCAAATAATGGGCTCGGGCCGAGAGAGACTGATGCAAGTCTCCCGCGCCACTGAGATGGCAGCCTAGAGAGTCTCGGTCCGGCCCCGCCCGGCAGCCGGCAGTGATTACAGTGCCATAGAGGCGCAGTGGCAAGAGGGAAGCCACCGGCCGGCCCAACTTCCAGCTAGACCCCGGGAGGACGTGGCCATGTGGCTGCCCCAAGTGTACAAACCGGGATTGCAAGACACTGGAAGGCAGTGTGTCGCCTCTAGTTACCCCTTTAGTGCTGTTAGCTCATTTTAGCCTTTGATGAAACAGGTTTCTAACGCCCAACCGTTCTGCATCCTGAAAATAAAAGCTCCCCGCATCCCGTCTCACAATCGCACACTCGTCCGCCCCGACTCTAGGCTCGGGTTTCTACTCCCCATCTGCAGGAAACATCGATCCTGATTCTATTATCTGCGGCCCCTGAAGACCCTTGACGCATAGGTGAGGAAGGATAGCTCAGCGCTGCCTCCTGGGCAGATAATGGAGCCGGATGAGGGATCCTTGCTAATCTGATCAGCGCTCATGAGCGCTACTCTCAGGTGGCAGAAACTGCTGCTGGTCCAGCAGCAGCAGAGCAGGACGCACCTGGAGCCCAGCTGCCCAGCAAGGCGGGTGCTACACCGTGCAAGTGTGTGATCACAACCTGGGCTGGAAAGAGGGGGCATGGACATGGCTTCCAAAGTCAGCCTCCTTTATTAAACGTCGATTTCACAGACCAGAAATACAAAATAACGGTAGAAATAGGCCCCAAAGCTGCCACTGGCCCGCCCTCCCCACCCCTGCTGCAGCCATGGGAGCAGGCCACCAGGCATGGGGCAACACGCTGCCCGGCCTCCCCCACTCTCCCCCAAAGACAAGGGGCCGCCACAAGCCCCAGTGACAAGCGTGCCATCCGCAGAACGTGTTAGATGGCACAGAATCTGAAGACAGCGGGTCTTGGGGAGGGAAACTGATCCGGAGAGGTGGGTGGGCTCCTGCAGCGCGGACAGCGCCGAG